GGGCATACTTTGACTGAGTCAGGGATTTACTTTCTTAAACGATGAAACACCTTCCTCCCTCCTTCTCTCCCGAGTTTATTATTGTTTAGACCAAGAGTGGGATAAACCAGAGAGGTAAGGAGAGTAAGATGATCAGTATTTCTAGAGCAGAGTTTTTACCCTTTAGGAGCATGTGCTGCATGAAGCCACACCATCACAGAGTGAAAATGAAGTGACCTGATGTTCTCCTTTAATTCCCCCAACCAGTAAGCTCCACAGCAGTCCAAGTGGCTATAACAGCTGTGCTGTTTTTGGCCTGACCCTGTGTTTTCACACTTCCCCGAGCAGCACTAACACTGTAGTGTGTTAACCTTTTTTTTTAAGTCTTTTTTAAGTCAAAAGAAGACAGTTGTTACCAGCTTCCCCACCTTTAACGGGTTGGAAATAGGCCAACAGCTGGGTGCTGGCTCAGCAGTGAATTTGCACATATTGGGAGACAGCTACATCCAACATTTTTACAGCTGCTGGGCACACGTGGCTCTTTGAACTTGCATCCCTTACATGTACCAATATAGTCCGGCAGGCAGGGGACACTCCTCATATACAGCCAAAATCCTGGTCATAAAGCATGTTCCTCATGTGGCAAAAGAAGTCTCCTCACAGTTAAGTTCCCTCCGAGGATTGTTTCCCTGCTGGACTATTTGGGATTGCCAGTCAAAGTAAGAGTCAGCAGCAAGTAAACCAGGCTGGCCATGACAAGTGCTTATTGAACACTGCTTAAGCAGCATGGCACAACTCAGTGCAAGTATTTCTTCAGTGATCTTGGAAGAAGAGAGAAAACAGCTTTGGGCTGAGATACCAGAGATCACAAGGCACTGGAACCTAAGGCGGAAATGAAATGCATTCACATTACTGTAAGTGTATTTGTTGCCATGGACCATTTTGACCCAGCAGATTCCCTTGCTGAACGCACAGTGCTGAGTCACCTCTCTGTCATTGGCTCTTTTCTTGCATTTGAAGTTTCTCCAACTTCAGTCTCTTTTCAGCACTATTACAGTCCTCGTTCCAGACCACGACATGATTACAAGAAGAAGAATTAACAAGTTCTCTGCACAAAAGATAGCAGCCCACAAAACTAGACTTTCCCCCTTTCATATACAATCTTAATGCTCTAGCACATGCCTTTCAGCAGAGCAACCTGCTGGAAAGGCTCTTGTATCTTTTCTAATTTGGATTTTTGTTACTTCAGTCTCCTGGGTAAGTGTTCTGCACTTTTCTTTACTAATATTTAACTTATATATTTAAAAGCTTTGTTAAAAAATTGTTTCAAGTGATTCTTTTGAAGTCTGATCATTTCTTTCCCTAGTTTGACTACTGCAGTTGCTAATTTTTAAGATGTACATGTTCCTTTGCTGCACTGTTTGTTATCTTCTGCCCCTTGGACATCTCCCCTTACGAAGTACAAATGTGGGTCTCTCTCATCACTACCACCTACACAAGTCCCATAGAGGAATGAGATCTGTTGCTTGGTTTCCAATGCTCTTTTTTTTATTATTTCTTCCTTCCTGTAAGTCACCATAGTTGTGCCTTTCTTCACAAGAGCATGAAGGTTTTCCCTGTTCTCCAGTGCCTCTGCCAGTGCCTGCTATGAAGCTCACACCTGGGGTTGCTGCTTTCAGTTACTTACTGCATACTGGAACAAGCATCACCTCACATCTGTCTTCATGGGTAGATAACAGTGCTCATTCAATTACACCTAAGCATGTTTAACTCAGGGAAGTCTTCAAAGGGTCAAGAATGACTGAGGAAAACCAGCAGCTCTGAAGCAGCAACTGGAGCAGAGCCAGCAGGAGCCTGACCAGCAGTTGGCTGGTCCTCATAGTTTTTTAAGCTCAGTCAGTATTTATCCTTGCAGGAGCAGAAAAGCTGTGAGGCTTGAGGATTTCAGATACCTTTGTCCATAGGAAGCAAGTGAAACCCTGCAACATTTTTCAACTTACACCACATCCCATGCCTTCTACATATGAGAGTGCAAGGAAAGGCAGGGATCCAGGATAGTAGACTTCCTCCTCTTCACAGAGAGATCAGCCTAGTTGGAAGGAAATGTCTACTGCTTATCTCCACTTCAGAAAACAGACACAGCCTGTGGTGGAAAAACATGGGCAAAGCCCAGCAGAAATCCTGGGGGCGAAAAGAGTGACTATGACTCGGGAAGCCTGGCTTTTTTGAAGCCGTGTTTTCATGCCAGACAAGAATTTGGCTCCGGACTCCTGTTCATTGCACTCTTGACAATAAGGAAGGTCAGCTCACAAAAAACACATGCCTGAAGGTGGTGTGGCAGGAGGGCACGTTCACAATGCACCCAAGCTCACCTTGTGCAACTTCTTTCTGAAACACCAGGTTTTCATTCCCGTTTCTAAGATTTTCACTTTCTCTTTAAAAGGAAAACTGCAATTCTCAAAAGAGCAACTGCACGAGGAGATTGGGCTTTATGGAAAAAAAAAAAACCAACAAAAAAAGCCCTCAAAAGCCCACATTTATAGTCAAAGTCTCTAAAATTATGAGATTTGACAATAAGGCTTTCATTCTTATGGTAACATGCAACTATGCAACATGCAGCTTGATTTCTGCAGCCAGTAGATATTCAAAATACTTTCCACATACAAGAGGTGTCAATTTGACTTTATTTAAGGAAAAACGGGGAAAAAACAGTAATTTCCATAATACACAGAAGACAAGTTAGATAGCACTGCAAAAAAAGGCTGAGTGTTTTACTTGTCACCAGTCTGCTTTGCAGCTCTACGATTAGTAATTTTAATGCAGTTTGTCATTTTGTATTATTGTTTAGCAACTTTATAATCAGCAGAGTTTGGGGTTATAAATCACGAAAAGTGTACTACTACTACTATGAAAAACTAAAAAACCCACAAAAATCACTTTCAAATAAACCATAAATATGTGATGCACATTAGTGTAACAAAACCATTTTTGTAAACATTTTCTCCAACATAACATGTGCATAAGATAAAAAATGAAAACACTGCAGTCATACAAGTTAGGGTTACTTTGACTTAAAGATACAGAAAATTATTACTTATTAAAGCTTAAAACTAAACCTAGGAGCTTTTCTTTTCTTCTTTGCTTACAAAAGCACTGTTTGAAGAGTTCGATGTTAGTATACGTAGTGGTTTTGTAATACTGTTTTTACCTTGCCATGTTGGCACTTCTGCAGAGGCAGAAGCTGCCAGGTGGGCAGACCCACTGAAGGAAGGAGATTTCCACCCTCCTTCAGAGCCACAAAACTTCAACAGCACATATCCATGACCTGGGCATCCCTACAGCACTGGAGCATCTTCCTCTAGGTGAATAGCATCAGCTTTCAAGGACTAAGTTAATTTTGACCACATAGCACTGGAAGATTTAAATCACGCAGACTGACATTCGATCGAATCAGCTTCGGCAAACTACACTACAGGGCAGCTCTGTGATTACACCCATGTCTACCATCACGTTGCATTTCCAAGTCCCCTTTAGTTCATTATAGTACAAAAGGTTGATCGTTCTTCTGGCTGACCACACCGGGCCTGAAAAGAACACATCCTTCACCTTCAACGCTATCCAAAAGTCATACAATTAAAAAAAAATAGTTCTAGGTATTCCTCCGCCAGCAAATGTAAGGCTTTCTTGAGTTTTGATTCTTTTTGGGAGGGGTGGGGGAGTGGGATTGCTGTGTGCACACACATGCGCTGGAGGTACGCATTTACCGCTTGCTTTTCAACCATTTACGATGTTCGAAGGAGAGTCTTCAGCAGCAGCGCTGATTGGGGTTGAAGGATTTACAGCAGTCAGATTTGACACCAAAAGAAGGGTCTGTTGAGTCTGAGCTTTGCACACTGGGTGCTCTTGGCTCTTAATTGATTGTGTGACCAGTCACTTGAGCCATTGGCTTGACTGAATTGAAGAATACTTATTTAAAAAGCCCTACCTGTCATGCCATGAAGGAAAGTTAACCGCAGCAGAAGACAAAGCCCATGAAACACTGAGAGCCTGTTCACTGAATGAACAGCTTAAGGCAGCTGTCAACAAAGTACCCCACCAAAGGAATCAAGGAAAAAAAAAAGAAAACAAAAAGGAGAATGGCTGAATCGTGACACTGCATTATTACACCAACAGATTATTATACACTCAAGATTTCTCAAGTAATGAACATGTAGCCATTAAACAAATTATTACTCTCAAGACATTTATTACAAATGTCAGAACTTATTCATAAAATAAAACTGACTTAAAACAAAAAAAAAAAAAAAAGAAAGAAAAAGCCAGAGCTGGGATCTTACATCTAAACACAGGTATACGCTGTTTTTATGAATAAGCAGTATTAACTACATTCTTAAAAGAGTTTTAGTGCATTGCATTCTTAAAAAAGAAAAACATCACCGCCCCAAAATGTTTCTTACAACATTTAACAATTTATAGAACTAGCCTAGTTACTTTTACCTGCCTGTTACTAAGCCCACATGTTAGAAGAGTGAAATCTCTGGTTTTAGGCTAAATTCAGAGTTCTATTAAGGATGAAACTGGTTTAAAAAATGCTTGCTTCACCAAATTTTGTAAGCGAATTACATTAATCAGTGTCTCACTGCCATACCGCTACCACTATTGCCCCAACGGACTACTCTCTCCTCCTGCTGAAACTTGCTATGCAATAACAGTCAGAAACCTTTCAATCTGGTAGTTTTGGTATTAAGATTAAATTAGACATTAACGGTTTTCTTCTAAAAACGTATAAACTAAACCACCTCTTTTATTTTATGCATTAAAAACAATGAGGTAGGCACAAAAAATAAACATATGTAGTTTGGATTTTATTTCTCTCTTTTTTTCTTTTTTTTTTCTTTTTTTTTTTTTTTTTTTTTTTTTT